AAAATTCTATAAATAGAGAATTATTTTCAGAATATTTTCTATTTGCTATAATTATTAGAATACAATGAGATTAAAATCATTTATTTTAAATGATCATAATAGTAAAATTTTCTCAAATATCTTATTAATCTTAAACATTAATAAATAAAATAAATTTAAATATAGGATATAAGTTTACATTATTCAATATATTTAATCAAATGAAAACATACGTGATAAATAAATAATGTATTTTAACTTAAAATAATCACAATAAGTTAACTTGCAAAATAATATAAGTAATAAATTAATAATGTATTTTATTTAAAATAATCACAATAATAGAATACGCAAATAATGTGTTTTATTTATAGGACTGATATAGTTTTATTGATTATTTAATTTTAAATACTACTATGAATATAGTATTTAATCTATACTTTAGAACTCACATAATTATAAATATAAAAAATATTGTTTTATTATCCATATTTTTATTTAATTAAAAAAAATAAGAATATAAATTTATTATTTGTTTTTCATTTTCGTTTGATCTTTTTTTATTTATAAATTTTTTGCATATTCTATATTGTGCTTACTTTAAATAAAATATATTATTTATTTTATTAAAAATATTAAATAAAGTGAAATAATTAAAAAGATCAAACAAAAATGAAAAACAAATAATAAATTTATATTCTTATTTTTTTAATTAAATAAAAATATGGGTAATAAAACAATATTTTTTATATTTATAATTATGTGAGTTCTAAAGTATAGATTAAATACTATATTCATAGTAGTATTCAAAATTAAATAATCAATAAAACTATATCAGTCCTATAAATAAAACACATTATGTGCGTATTTTATTATTGTTATTATTTTAAATAAAATACATTATTAATTTATTATTTATATTATTTTGCAAGTTAATTTATTGTGATCATTTTAATTTAAAATACATTATTTATTTATCACATATGTTTTTATTTGATTAAATATATTGAATAATGTAAACTTATATCTTATATTTAAATTTATTTTATTTATTAATGTTTAAGATTAATAAGATATTTGAGAAAATTTTACTATTATGATCATTTAAAATAAATGATTTTAATCCTAGTATTCTAATAATTATAATAAATAGAAAATATTCTGAAAATGATTCTCTATTTATAGAATTTTTATATTTTAAGTATAATATTCAAAAATTTACTAAATTGGTCTTTATATAAAATTAATAAATCTTAAATATTAATTACAAATTAAAAAAAAAAAACGGAAGACTTCCAAAAAGTCTTCCGGTAAACAAACGAAAAAAAATATGTACCAGAAGACTTCCAAAAAGTCTTCCGGTAAACATACTAAAAAAATGTGAACCGGAAGACTTCCAAAAAGTCTTCCGGTAAATAAATAAAAAAATATTAAAAAAATTAAAAAATAATAAATTTTTATACGAGGATATTTTGGTCCAAAATTTTTTAATGTAGGGGTATAGGTATAAATGTAGGGGTATGGGGTAAAACTTCCCAAAAGAAATGATGGATGTTTGTTGTGTTGTATCCCAACGGTAAAGTGATGTTCCATTGACCAATGAGTATGGAATTCGACAATATATTTATGGTATAGTTGATCATTTGTTTTAAAATTTATAAATATTTTTTTAATAAAAAATAGAACTAATAAGTTTTATTTAACAATAAATTGATATAAATATGTTTTATTTTTTATTTTAGAAAATTATGTATAATTTTTTTATCTATTTTTGTTTGATTATAAAAAATTGGTATTATTTTTTATACATGAATAACGATAAGTATTTTTAATAAATAATTTTTAATTAAATTTATAAAATAATACTCGCTTTATAATATAATTATTAAATTATATAAATATAATAAGTAATTATTTTTATCATATAGTTTGAGAAGAATATAAAATTTGTAAATTTAATTCACGATATTAAGATGATAAAAAGTAATATGATAAATTTTCAAATATTAAGTTAATATTAAATTAATAAAACTAATATGTTTTATAGACTATTAGTTAATTTTATATTATTTAGTGATTTAATTTAAAAAAATTGATTAAATTGCATGCATAGTGCATATACCATAACTTTTTTTATGGTGATATTAAGCAATCAGCATAATAACTAATCTTTCATTTGTTACTTGTTGATCTTTTACAATCTATTTTATTAATTAAAGTATAAATTCCACTAAATTTTCACACAATTTAATCAATTTTAATCAATAAAAAATTGATATCTGCTTCGGGAATCAGACTTCCATCTGTCAGAATTCTGAATTGGCACATTCAAAAAGGATCTTTTTCCTCGAAACTGTTAGGGGAGCGTACTCGTGGAACCGATCAGAAGGTCCTTTGTTGTCCCAGGACTCTCGGGGATGATCTTCTCGTCTTCTATCTCTCCGACGGGATGTCGAGGGCTCGTCGGACCTGGAGATTCAGGTATTCTCCCAGTGTCTCGAATCTCAGGCAAAACTGGCGGCCTCATTCTCTTCGTATTGAATGTACGTTTGTTCCTTGAGGAGGAAAGCGTCCAGCGTTGTTAGAGGTTGGATGCCCACAACTTTAGCAAATTCAGTGCGGGGACAAAGTCTGCGCTCGAGCAGAAACTTTTTCATGTCATCGGTTGTAGAGACCTAGATGGCCTCCTTATTAAACCTTTCGATGTAGGCTAGCAGGGGTTCATCTCTCCCTTGGATGATGGCCTCAAGGGAGGCTTCGGTCTTCGGATAGCGGCGGGAGGCCGTGAAATTTCTGGAGAACATTCTCCCCAGTTTCCTCCATGAGGTGATGGAACTGTCGGGGAGTCTTTTGTACCAGGTCATCTTCCTCTTCCTGAGTGTGGTAGGGAATAACCTGCATTTGATGGCGCCCCAGACACCGCGGTAGGCGCATGGCCGTAATCTCCCAGGAAAATGGGTACGAGGCTCGTCGTCACTGCTGCTGCTGGTCCAAGACGGAGAGCGGGTATCCCGTCTGTATGTAGAATGGCGGTCTCGACGGGGAGACAGGGTTCGTGTTCGGCCCTTGGATCTGGGCAGAGGCGAACGTTAGGGCTCTGTTTGGTGGTCTCTTCTGGTCCTCTTGGGTCGTGTGGAATGCTAGTTCCGAAGAGAGATGTGGTCGCGCTTTCTGATGGTCAGGGTCTCTGGCTCCGGAGGTGTTTGACGGTTTCTTTCGCGCCGAGGTGGGGGACTCTGTGGTCTCTGATGTTCCTTCCTCGGCGGAGAGGATCTTGGACAACTGGACTCTTCTAAGACTCCAATCCTCACGTTCTGGTTGAGGATTAGGAGGTTGGTCTTGCTGAGAACCTCGAGGAGGATAGCCATGGTCGGGTCGGCGTTGGGCGGAACTAGAACTGGCAGGTGCTGCAGAACTAGCGAGACTTCGTTGTGATCTGCGCGAACAGGGAATGGAGAAGTTGTGGCTCCGTCCTTTTGTCGGAGGACGTCGCCGTCATGAAAGGTGGTTGCTCCGTCAGCATCAGTCTTACTAACGGGGAGAAAGCAGAGTTGCGAGCATTAAGAGTGTTGTCACGGCTGGTCATGATCGGAATTTGGAAGAACTGTTTTGATCTCGTGTCTACGAAAGGAGAAAAGACGGGGATAACAAGATTCTCACAAACGGAGCCACTGATCTTGACGGCTGATCAGAACCTGAAATGGGCCAGAGACAAACGCTTGTGATGTTGGGTGTGAGAGAAGAAGAGGGGGTGTACTTGCAAGGCACTCCGATGTTAAAGTAAGAATCGAGCAAGAGAGAGAGCAAGTATAGAATATGAGTATATTAGGGTGAATATTTGATATTTGACCCTCTCAAATAAGAAGATTTTTATAGTGCCCCCAGCGCTTGGCCATTGGTCCCTATTTTCGGGGCGAGATAACCGTTTTTCGAAGAATAGGTAACTGTCAGAACCAGCCGTTGGAACAGGCCGAGGTACCCATAACTAGTCGTTGCTACGGGCAAGGGCGTAGTTACGGGCACAAGCGTCTTGACTGTTTCTAGATGGTGGAACCGTGCGTGATGGGCAAGGACTGACGAGGAGAAAGTGACCAATGGTAAACTGGTCAGCCTCCCCTATTGGAGGGATAGAAAGGTAAATGCTTCCCTCAAATTGATTGAACTTATGCAATTAAATCGTTATGGAAGTAAAAATAGACTGGGCCACGCTTAGCCGTTAGACCAGTCCGAAACAACCACTATGAAAGAAACAATATTAAATTGAGCATAACTTTTTTATGACAGTGATATTAAGCAATGAGCATAATAGTTACTTGTTGATCTTTCACAATCTCTTTTATTGATTAAAGTATAAATTCCACTCAATTTTCACACAATTTAATCAATTTTAATCAATAAAAAAATCATATATAGGATTCTTTACAAAAATCTTTCTAGTCCTACATGATATTGTTAAAGTGAGTGAAACAGAAACAGCTGATTTGGAAAGTTGATGATAAGAACCATTATAGCAATAGTCACACTCCATTAATTTCTTCAAACTTCACTAAATAGAGTGTTGCTACAACTTTTTCTTTTTGTACAATCCTAGTGGCGCTACTTTCACTACTAACATTCTAAATTCACTATAAATAAATGTACAAATTCCACTACTGAAAAAAAAAATTAAAAATTAAAGCAAAAGCATGGTTCTTTTTCTTTCTTTTTTTTTTCTTTAATTTTCTTTAATCTTGACCAATTTTATCATATACTAGCTTCATCATTATGATAGCAGCGCAATATATTAAAAAATGTTTACATATATACCTTATTGGTATATGAAAAATACATACTTTCAAGTTTAATAATTGAAACGTTATCCAATCTTCTGAACTTTAATAATTTGTCTTATCATTTCAATTTCTTCATTCATAAGGAATTGAAACTGATAAATCATGACTGAAAAATGATAAATCTCACTATAAATTTCAGTATATATTGTAATCCTTAAGACACTGATACACAAATTTGGAAGAAAAAAAATGTATGTGACTAGGCCTTTGTCTATGTACAGAAAATCTCCGAGTACATCGGAGATACCGCCACCAGATGCACCTTATTCAGGCTATCTAGTGATCACAGATGAAGAAGCAGAAGATGAAGATACGTGCTGTTGGCGAATATGTCGCCGGAAGAATGTGAAGAGACTGCCTTTTCCACAGGATAAAATGTTTTCGGTTTTTCATCCTTCGGAGAATGAACAAGCTTCGAGTATTAAGGTTTGGTTTCTTCCTGTTCCTGATCATGCTTTGTCTTCCAACAGATACTATGTCATCAGAGCCAAAGGTAGACACAAAGGGTATGTATCTTGGTTTGTTTATTATAGTTTTTGAATGTATCGGTCTTGCACTTAAATATGACCGTGTTTTTTATGTGTATAGTTGAATTGACAGTGAATTTGATAGAATCGTAGTGTACAAAGTATTTCTGGCTAAATAAGAATACATTCATATTCACAATGTTGAAACTTTTGTGATTTTGTAGGAAAGCATACAAATGTTCAAGAGAAGGTGACATAGTGAGTTGTTGCTTCAACAACATCTTGAATGACAAAAGTCCAAAGCCATTCAATCTAAAAGATTTATACCAAATTTTCACTATTCATACTCATCAAAGTGGTGGATTTTTCGCAAAGTCAATTACACCCGACGGAATTCCACCAAAATTCCTAAGAAAAAAAGGATGGAAAGTTAGAATTTCAGGTTCATATAGATCATGCAGACTAAATGAAGCTCTAGGTGTTGATGTTCCTCTAAGAGAAAAGCTTCCAAGTTTCAACTTTCCTATCTCAAGAAAAAAGTCACCAAATTTAGTTGTAGGAAAATGGTATATCCCATTCATATTTGTGAAAGAAAATGGAAGAAAAGTCAAACAACAAATGAGAAAGTCAATGTTTTATAGTATGACACTAGAGCAAAAGTGGGAAGAGATTTATTCATGTGGAAGAGATTATGATAATCAAAATGAAAGTGAAAGCAATGTTGTGATTGTGAATGTATTTGTTGAGAGAGAAAAGGTGTTGATTTGTGGAATGGAAGCAACAAAGAATGGAAGAGTTGATAATAATGGTTTTATATGGTTTAGAGTGTATAATCCATATGATAAGAGAAGGGTTAGTGTTGGATTAAGTTCAGCAATTATTGATAATATGAGATGGGTGGAAGAACAAGGTGGCTGGGTTTATGGTCATGGGAGAGAAAGAAATGTGAGTGTGAAAGAAGAGGTAACATGTCAAAGTGAATGGAATAGGTTTGGTTGTTATGTTTTGGTGGAAAGTTTTTGTATTAGGACATTAGATGGGAAATTTGTTTTGAGATATGATTTTAGGCATACTCATAAGATCAAGTGCAAATGGGAGTAAGAATTCATTAAGGTTTGATTTTTCCTCTCTAAATATTATCTTCGGTAACATCATAAATTAATGATTCTCGTATTTTTAAGAAACTCTAGTGAGGCTTTGGATAAACGAGAAATCAAATACTGGACAACACATATGTAATAATAAAGAGGTTTTAAGAAATATTATATGATGTATTTTTATCGAGGTTGAATGAAATGTGTCATTAGACATTTTATGTTCAAATAACATGAATGAAATAATAACTCTAAATAAATTTTGTCATGTAATTTATTGGTCGGAATTTCATCTTTTGAAGATGAATAAGTTATATGTTGCATATTCAAAAGCGCGTCAATGCAGTATGATATTCATGTCCAGTTAATAACTGAATTGGATGAATCAGAAAGGTTATATAGTACATTTGAATTGAATGGTTAAAAGAACACTAAATTGAATGGGTTGGACCACTAAATCAATAATTTCCCATCCATACAACCATTTTGTCTTTAGTGCAATTGACTAATAAATAGTAATAGTTGTAGAAGTCAAAGAATCAATTTGAGATTCTACATCTCAAGAACTCTTGAACTATACTTTTATGGCATTTCATTTCATGGTTTGATGAACTCTGAAGGATCCATTCCAAACACAAACCAAAATGAAAGCTCTCACTACTTTTTCATCACCTTACTTCAACTCTCAAGGTGATTTTTATAGTTCTTTTTATGATTTTGCTTTTACATTTCATCACCTTACTTCACCTTATATAATATTTTTTTACTTCAGTTGAAAAGCAATGGCCTCAAAGATTTTCCTTGAGGATAAAACCAATGCATCTAAGACATTCAAATGGCTGCAAAGTTAGAGCAACTTTGAATACTAACACTAAATCAATTGAAATTCCTCATCAATGGTACAATCTAGTAGCAGACCTTTCGGTTAAGCCGCCGCCGCCATTGAATCCCAAGACTTTTGAACCAATCAAACCAGAAGATTTGTCACCTCTTTTTCCTGATGAGTTAATCAGACAAGAAGTGACAACTGATAGATTCATAGATATACCAGATGAAGTTCTTGATGTTTACAAGCTTTGGCGCCCAACTCCTCTCATCAGGTTTGATTGCCATCTACCATATATGCATTGTGTCTTGATATTTGATGTTGCTGAGAATTGAGGTCAAATATTACATTAACCGCGCCAAAAAGAACCGAGTAGTGACGGAAAGTTCACAAACTAAAAGTCAACTGCTGGTCAGGACTCGGTTCTTTTTGGTTTGATTCGATTTAACAGTTCCGTTCGGTTTTATCTTTTTGTATTCTAGCTAGATCAATGAAACTGACATATATGTTTTTCTTGTAAATCTAGAGCCAAGAGATTGGAAAAACTTCTTGGCACACCTGCAAGAATTTACTACAAATATGAAGGTGTGAGTCCTGCAGGTTCACACAAACCGAACTCGGCTGTTCCGCAAGCATGGTATAACTTACAAGAAGGTGTCAAGAATGTTGTAACGGAAACCGGTGCGGGACAGTGGGGAAGTGCATTAGCCTTTGCTTCTAGCATATTTGGCCTTGGCTGTGAGGTATGGCAAGTACGCGCTTCATACGATTCGAAACCGTATCGAAGATTAATGATGCAAACATGGGGTGCAGAGGTACATCCATCTCCATCTATGATCACTGAGGCAGGTCGAAGAATTCTCCGAAACGATCCAACGAGTCCAGGGAGTTTAGGCATAGCTATATCGGAAGCTGTGGAAATCGCTGCTAAGAATCCCGATACGAAGTACTGTTTAGGGAGTGTACTAAACCATGTTTTACTTCATCAAACTGTTATTGGAGAAGAGTGCATTAAACAAATGGAAGCTATTGGAGAAACACCTGATGTGATCATAGGTTGCACTGGTGGTGGTTCCAATTTTGCAGGACTTAGTTTTCCTTTCATTAGAGAGAAGCTTAATAAGAGAATTAATCCTGTGATTAGAGCTGTTGAACCTACAGCATGTCCTTCATTAACCAAAGGGGTATATGCTTATGATTTTGGTGATACAGCAGGGTTGACTCCTTTGATGAAAATGCATACACTTGGTCATGACTTTGTTCCTGATCCAATTCATGCTGGTAACTGATTCTATATGCTGAGAAAGTTTCTCTCAAATTTATATATATTTTTGTTTAGACACCTCACTTGTGAAACACCGATTCAGATATGAACACCAGACACAACACTGATAGTTTTTCTTATTTTTATGTTTTGTTTAGACCCCTCAACTATAAAACACCAACAATACAGATGCGAACACCAGACAAAATATTGATAGTTAAGCATCAATAATAATTTGAAGTAACTACATGTGTTGGTGTCAGATGGCATATGTTAAACATCTTACACTTATTAACTACATGTGTCGTGTCAGAGTCACAGATGACGTATGTTATATTTTTGTATACTTGTAGGGGGGTTGCGCTATCATGGTATGGCACCATTGATCTCTCACGTATACGAGTTAGGTTTAATGGAAGCGATTTCAATTCCACAAACCGAATGCTTTCAAGGTAGTTAATTAAGGATCCGATTACTTTCCACTTTGCAACTTTTGGATACAATCATATGCAATGAAACTGTCATTTTGATTACAGGTGCTATACAGTTTGCAAGGTCTGAAGGGTTGATACCAGCACCAGAACCAACTCATGCTATTGCTGCAACCATTAGGGAAGCTCTTCATTGTAGAGACACCGGAGAAGCCAAAATTATTTTGACAGCAATGTGTGGACATGGTCATTTTGACTTACCAGCTTATGAAAAGTATTTGCAAGGTAATATGGTTGATCTCTCCTTCTCAGAGGACAGGCTGAAAGCTTCACATGCCAATATTCCTCAAGTGACATCTTGAGTTGTCTTTAATCTATCATTTATGCGTTCATGTAAGACACATTATGAGTACCTCCAAATGAAAGCACAAATTCAAACTTCATCACCAATTGTCTCTATTGTTTGTTAAGAATGATAATTTCTGGTCTTTGTTACAAAGTCTTATTGATTTGGACCTTGGGCCCTTGACTAAGACGCCTCAAATCATATGTTTTGTAACAAATTTCTTTTCTCGTGATTGACTTAATGGGTCACAAATAAAAAGTCAAGGCATTGTTCAAACTAATTGGTGACACTTTTGACATTTGTACCAATTGTCGTCTGAGTACTATAATTTATAAAGTTTATCTTCAACGGTTGTTTTAATTTCTATTTAAGAACTAATATTTGTTGGACATCAGATTTTAAATACAAGACGGGTGAGTTGTATTAGATTGAAATATATTTTTAAAATAAAATCTTAAAAAAAAAAATCAAAACTCTTGTAAAACAAAAGGAGTAAAAGTCATCAGAAATAATAAATAGTTAAGAGGTGAGAGAAATGCCCCAAGAGTTTATAGAGATTCGATTTTAGTGATATGATTTACTCCTCTCCTAAAGAATTATTTCTTAAGAGTTTTTAGGATGAAAACCCCCACAACCAACTGGGAGTTTTTTAACAGTAAACTAAAGTCACAAACTAGTTTAGAGATTTAACTGCATAGACCTCCCCAATTGTTAAGAAATGTGATTGGGTCTAACTCAACCCTACAAAACTGGTGGATAGAGTGAGGATTACCCCCACTTATAAAGACATGTTCATACCATATATTACTCGATGTGGAACTTTTAACACACCCCCTCACGCTTCAGACTAGACAACTGAAGCGTGGAAATAAATAGTGGGTGACCCGATAGCGGAAACCATAGAAGGTGATCCACCGGATCCTAAACGAGGCTCTGATATCATATTAAGAAATGTGGTTGAGCCTAACTCAATCCTACAAAATCGATTTTGTAGGGTTGAGTTAGGTCCAACCACATTTCTTAACACCAACCAATATGAGATTTTCAATGGTTTAACTCAATAACCAAAAGAGTTTTTTAATGGTTTACATCACAACCAAACAATCATTTCTTAAAATAAAAATATTGCACAAGAGATAATACTTTCTTGAGCAATTTACAAATCACCTCCTCTCCATAAATAGTTATCCTTACAAAGCACATAGTCACTTTCAAAAATCTAAGGCAAAACTAAAGTGAGAAAATGATAGATTTGGAGAAAAAGAGCATAGAGTGAGAAAGAAAGATCAAAATTCATTTTATGGATCATTTTAAATGATATAGGAGTCATTTATTTATAGGACAAAATGTGGTGTAAATTTTAAAATAATTCATGGGCTAATTAAGTCTCATAATCGATTATATCAAAGGCCTAATCGATTATGTCACCCCAAAAGGAAAGGTTTTGATTCCAAATTGTTAATCATTTAAGAACCTCTCCAATTGATTTTAAGATTTACAAAGTGAAATAATTGATTACTTCTAAGGCTTAATCTATTATTACTTTTTAAAAAATGTTTTTAACTGATCAGACAAATTCTTATTCAATTGGCTAAGCTCTTAAAATATTTTTAGGTGATTTATGTGTGTGTGTGTGTATGTGATTTGCCTTAGTAAAATCGAGAGTATGTTTTATACTTTTACAAACACTTATCACTCGACACGCACAAATGAGTTTTCACACTTCCTCTGTTTCATAACTCTCAAGTTTTTGGTTTCTTGACACATTATCTTTGGATTTAACACTTAATTAAAACCTTGAACCTTCTTTTGACAAGGCTTGAAATAATTCTTCATTGACAAACCGCTTACTTCACCGAACATTGTTTGATATAAGGTGTTGCCCCCATATATAGCCATTGATAGATTTATCTCATATCACTTGATCACCACGACTTGATCATCAATACTTGATCTATACAACTTGATCAACACATCTAGATATTCAACTAACACCATAACTTGATCTTCGAGTACATTCACTTTATCATTGTATCAGATGATCTTTAGACTTTATCTTGATCAACATATATTGATCAATACATCTTGACCTTCAAGCACCAAGCACCATCACTTGGTAATCACATCAAGTACCATCGTTTGATCTACATATCAAGAACCATTACTTAATCAACAACATGTTAAGTACTATCACTTGATCAGTTCTCAAGCATCATCACTCGAACAATGTTCAAGCACCATCAATTGAACTACAACATATCAAGCATCATCACTTAATCAGCAACATGCCAAGAGTTATCACTTCAAAAATCTTCAAGAACCATCACTTGAATCAATAAGCCTTGAACAAAAATACTATTGAAGATTTATATTAAGAGCATTGTCAATGTAATATCTCATATTCCCTTAAATGCTCAATTGGGTACCATTGAGATCAATTGAGTTCCTATGCGCTCTATCTTTTGTTATTTGGAATGATTGAAACTCCTAAGTGCTCTAAATGTTATCAGTTGGGACCAATAGAGCAACTAGTGAACTCTGAAGAGATCAATTATTAATAAAACGGACTGATCAATATTAATAAGTTTAAGAGAGGATATTTTGGTAACTCTAATATTTGGTCAATTGGTGTTAGATGACAAAATATTATGTTATGCTACTATACTTGTTATTTTACATATGTACATTGATTGCATGCTTGATTTTTGTGATAAAATGCTTAAAAGACTATAAGAATGGTGAGGAAACCCTTAATATCAATTAATGGAATTAATTAGTAAGGTGATTAGGACATGATGAATAACATAGATGGAAATTCTTGTGCAAGGATGTCTAGATGTGCATTATTGGCAAGTGGTTGTCTAGTGTTGAGGAGAGCTTTATATGGAACATGTGTGGTTTTATGTTAGTTGTGTTTAAGGTGAATGTGTTCGCCTTGTGATTGTCGAATACAATCACGTTGTGTAGTGTTTTATCACATAGTCGGAAACAACCCTTGTGGATATCGTCCCAAGAGTTGATGCTTATGTAGAGCTCCTTTGGGATGTACGCATTATCACTTTAACAGAAGTTACCTTAAATGAATAGAGCCTATGGGTAAGAGACTTGAGATGGACAGAGGTCCCATGGAAAGTGACGATTCATGTAGAAAGCACCTTGAATCTGAATCCATTCATTTACCCCATGTGTACGAATAGAGCCTACGGGTAAGAGACTTGAGATGAGCAGAGGTCCCATGGAAAGTGACGATTCATGTGGGAAGCACCTTGAATCCGAATCCATTTTGTATGTCAAAGTAGATACAAGGATTTGTGACCCATGCTAAAATTCTTAGACGTAGGTGAGACGACGGGGAAGTTTACCTTGGTATGGTTTCTGATTAGTGATTGTTTGAGTTGGTGGACTCAAGAGGCATGTTTCTATACATTGTGAATTGTGTGAACTCAAGTCTTATCCCTTTTACCTCTTGACTTGAGTTAGATTATATTAGAACCTTGTAGAGTCGAGTGAACCCATAAGATAGGGGAACTCACTAAGATTATCATCCCACCCCATTATTGTTGTTATTTTTCAGGTATTGCTTGCATATTTAGTTTGCAAGTGAAGCTATGCATGGAAATTTCAAGTGAAGATTAGATTATGTTTTGCGCTGTGTAATATGCATCTTATACAATAATGGATATTGTACTCAGATCTTCAATTTTATTCTTTGGCACTTTCCATATCTTGTACTATTGTTGTTCTTTTATGTTTTTGTAAAATGGTCAAGTATGTAAATTATGCCAATAGGCACTTATGATGGTGTAAGTACCAGATAATAACTCTTGTATGATATTATTCTAGATATATATTATACAGGGCGTTACACTCAACATAAAAACCAAATCAAAAAATAGCTGCAATCTTCATACCTACAAACACATGAATGCACATTCTCTCCCTTTTATGATGACAATACATCTCTCAAAGAGATGGACAAACAAAGAAACAAGGGTAATAAACTTGGAGTTGTTAAACTCTCCTTGACAAATATAGAGAGTATATCATACTCCTCTGAGAGTATACGTATTTCCCTTTGACAATATCAAAAAGACAGGAAAAATAAACAAATAGGTCAGTTGTCGTGGTGAGAACCGGATACCATAGCTATTGAATTAACTAGGCTCACAAATCATAATTCATCACCGGTATTTAATTTATCCAAAGGAAATGGTAAAGATCGAAAGCCCTAATTGCAATGTAAAAACAATGCAAGAGATCTAAGATTCAGGGGTTGGTTATACCTAGGGAAGGTGCTAGCATCTTAAGTATCTGTAGTACTCTACAGAAACCTCTTGTTTCATTTGTGTTATTTGTTATTTGTCTTCTAAAAGGTGAAAAGGTAAAAGGAAACCTGAGGTGTTAGTCCTAAGTATGCTCGCCAAGATATCGCATCTCGTGCCTACGTATCCTGACGGGAATGGAATCAGAGTATTCGTAGTTTCCCTCAATAAGGGTGAGGAACTCTTGAATGTGGTCAACGTTCCAAAGGGAAGAGATAAGTGTTTATGGAAGAACACCTGCATAGAGTTAAGAAACTCTAAACCTAAGGCTAGGTTAAAAGGGAGGTAAGTGTTTGTGGCATGACATCTACATAAAATACAACGACTCTAATCCTAAGGCTAGGATAAAATGGGAAAGGAGTGTCCATGGCAGAACACTCACATAGAGTACAATGACTCTAATCCTAAGGCTAGGATGAAACGGGAAGAACCTAAAGTTAGGCTAAGTATGACATGGCAGTCAACAGAAGAGATCCATTCCTTTGGAATAAAATAAACAAGAAAATTCATAATAGTTTCAAAAACCAATAAGTGAACATCAGACAAGATTAGCCTCATGGAGATAATATACAATAGGAAAGCAACAAAGTTAAGAGCATAAAAACTAAGATCATGAACAAATAACAGCATATGTACAAGACAAAGGTCAAGTCTTGTAATCAAATCACAATGGATAGGCATCATGAAGATAAGT